TTATTTTTGTGACCTTGAACAAGTTACTCCCCTTCCCACTCTCTGTTTCTCCATCTCCAAAAGGGGTATAACAGTACCCATTGGGATTGCAGTGCCCATGAGATTCCTGGGAAGCCCCAGTGAGCTATGTGAATGTTTGCTGGACTGGTCACGTTACTGGACTAGCCGGGTCACTGTCACTAACACAGTCTTGATTTTTTTTTATTTGAGTTTATTTTATGCTAAATTTATTCCTGTGCCATAAGTTTTTGTTTCTTCAGTTTCTTCTGGGATACCTTTTTCTTCTGTGCAACCTCCTCCTCTGGTTTAGGCACAATCTGCTCCTTCTCAGTAAGGATCATCTCAATGTAGCAGGGGGAGCTCATGGATGGGTTAATCCTACCATGGGCTCTGTAAATTTGGTGGCGCATCTTAGGTGCTTTGTTCACCTGGATGTGTTCAATGACCAGGGATCTACATCTAAACCCTTCAGTTCTGCATTACTCTCTGCATTCTTAAGCATGTACAGCAGAAATTCAGCACTCTTTTTGGGCCACCGACCCTGTGTCCAGCCCCACTGTTTGGCCTGGGCACACCTGCCAACTCCACCATTGTAACCCCGGAATGGCACACATTGCTTCTTTAACGTGACATCTTTCAGATACTTGGTCGCTTTTCGGATATGCCTACCCTTGATGGCCTGGGCTGTTTCTCTGGTGTTCTTAGAGTGTACACGAAGATTGGAACCTCTTGATTTGCATGCTTTTGTGGGGTTTTCTGGGTCTAGAGAGTAGCGAACCATTTTCACAGGTCACCTCTGACCGCTTACAGGAAGAGCCACAGTCTTGATTTCTAAGACCCCTCAGAAGGACACCCAGGTGGCTGTCAAGTCACAGCCACCGACAGTTTACCCAGAATCACACACTCAGGGTCCCAGGGAGACATACACACTTTTGTGTGCATCTGCATGTGGAACAGAGAGAAATAAATAGTTGCACTTGGGGACAATCTGCCCCCCTGCTTGCTCCGCCCCTGAGGGAGGTAGAGGACACACATGTGCTGGGTACGGGTGCAGGTGCTGGGCATGTGGTAAGGTTGGAGGAAGAGAGAGATTCTGAAAGGTTGGAGGAGGAGAAGGTAGCTTGTCCCCAGGGCAGCTGAGAGCCCTCCCCTTTTCTTTCCGGTGTTGGGGTGGGAGGTGCACATGAGGGAGGGGAATCTGGGGAATCTGAGGGGGAAATCTCCATTGTCTCCTGTCTCCTGGAGATGCCAGGCCTGGAAACATCTCTGCTGCCATTCTGAGAGGGTGTGGGCTTCCCTGCGGGGGGACTTGTGAGATGTGGGGTTGGGAATGGGGTACTCCTTTGTCCCCTCCCCTGCAGGAAGCATGGAGCTGCTTGAGGGAAACAAACATGAGCCCCAGCCATTGTTTCTAGAGAAGCCTCCACTTCAGGAAGGCTCCAAGCTGGCCAATGGCCTTTGGCTTTCTACTCCTAGGGACTCCTGGGGGCCACGGACACTTCCTTCCACATCACTTCCTCTCATTACCCTCGTCCCCCCCCACACAACCAAGCCTCCAGGACAAACACTGAGTGCCTTTCAGGGTGAGAAGGGCTGGCAAGGGCTGGCCACACCAGGTCACACAGGGGTGGCAGTTCTGTCCTCTCCCTAATGTCCGTGCCAAAGATCACCTCTTCTGGCCAAGGGAACAGAGCCACTGTAAGGTCCCGGGGTTCCCTGCAGGTGTAGAGGAGGATTCTAGAAGTAGGGGAAGAGGGGTGGGGGAGCCCCCTTTACAACCCCAACTCTGGGATATTCAGTGCACAACTTGATTTGGGTTTCCTAACTGGGACCCATCCAGCCTTCTCGGAAGCAGTCACTGGCAAAAGGGTGACTTTCCCCTCTTCCTAAGTCAAGCTAATGTCCCAGCCAGGGAGGGCAAAGCTACCTACATGGTGTTAGCCCTAGGGTAGACTTAACTCCACTGTGGACTGTGTGAGCTTCGAACCTATTGCCAGTTCCTCCTTTGCCCATTGGCAACGTAGCCATATGGAGGAGGTCTAGCTTGAAGAATACAAGAGAGCCAGCAGCTCAGCCAACAGCCAGCCAGCCAGCCAGCAGCTCAGCCAACAGCTGAGACCCAGCTGGGATTTTAGACCCAGGGCCCCAGTACTTTCCTCAGTACTCCCTAACTCAAATTACAAGAGCTCATGGACTGGATGAGATACTATGGCTTAGAGCCCCGGTAGCTTGTGAGGCTTTGGCCTTTGTCTCATGAACTGGTTCATAGGTCATGGTAGATGTATCTAGAACGTGCATCTGGCCTTACAGCTACCATCCACAGCCTAGCCATTGACTGATGCTTACGTTTGGCCAAAGAAATTTTCCTCCAGTGGGTGATAATAGCCAGGGTAGTGTCTCTACGTTCATCATCCATCAGAATTACCAGTGGGACTTTGTGTGTGTGTGTGTGTTGATCCTGAAGCTTGAACTCACGGCTTGGGTACTGTCCTTAATTTCTTTGCTAAAGGCTTGTGCTCTACCACTTGAATCACAACTCTACTCCAGCTTTTTGGTGTCTCATGGACTTTCGTGCCTGGGCTGGCTTTGAACTTCAATCCTCAGATCTCAGCCTCCTGAGTAGCTGAGATTACAGAAGCTCCTGGATCCTGGCAAAGGTACTTAAAAAATATGGACATTAAAGTTTTATTTCTGAGATTCTTTTTCAGTTAGCTTGAGCTGAGACTCAGACTTCACTCTTTTGCAAAAGATTCTTTTTTTTTTTTTTGGGTCCGGTCGTGGGGCCTGAACTCTGGGACTGGGCGCTGTCCCTCAGCTCTTCAGCTCAAGGCTAGCGCTCTATATCTTCCTTCCTTCCTTTCCTTCTTTTTTTTTTTTTGCCACCCCTAGGTCTTGAACTCAGGGTCAGAGAGCTGTCCCTGAGCATCTTTCGCTCAAAGCTAGAGCTCTACTGCTTGAGCTACCTCTGGCTTTTGCAGAATAGTTTATTGGAGATAAGAGTGTTAGTATTAAGCTCACCTTTGGTCCTCAGCTCCACCCAGATCTGAGGCCCTCCCATCCCTGGAATTCTTGCCATACAGCTGGCCCCTCCCTCTCTCCTCCCAGACCCACCGGAAATCCCACCTGAGTTCACTTCCTTCCCTCAGACCCCTCCTGCCACCTGGATGGTCCTGATGCCATGTGCTCCCTGTTGGGGGAAATATGGTTCCTCTAATAAACCTTATAATAATCTTTCTCCTGTGCCTGCCTGTCTCTGCGTGGTCCCCTGGGATGAATGCATGGGACCCTTCAAAGAGTCTCAAGGATTTTTCTGTGCAGGCTGGCTTTGAACCACAATCCTCAGATCTCAGCCTCCTGAGTAGCTAGGATGACAGGCGTGAGCCACTAGAGTTATTTTCTATAGCGTAGAAAATGACAAAAAAAAAAAAAAGTAACAATGCAGCCCTCCTCACAAGAATCTGTTATTAATGTAGTATGTGTAAACTGTCCCACTAGCAGCTGATTTTCATGCAGCAAAATAAACATAAGTCATAAAGTGTGAGGCAAATCAAGTTTTATTGGACAATAATATTAAATTTCATACAGTATTTCTTGGACATCTGTTGATCACAACACAGCAGACAAAAAAAAATAAAAGGTATAAAGGACCAGGTGCTGGTGGCTCCTGCCTGTAAAACTTAGCTACTTAAAAGGCTGAGATCTGAGCATTATGGTTTGAAGCCAGCCTGGATAGACAAATCTGATAGATCCTTATCTCCAATGAACCAGCAAAAAGCTGGAAGCAGAGGTGTAATGCAAGTGGTATAGCTCTAGTCTCCAGTGAAAAGGCCAAGTGAGAGCATGAGACTGAGTTTAAACCTCAGTAGTAGCGCGCACACATGTATTAAAGGTATATAGCCAACCATTTTTTCAGCACCTTTCAGAGCAAATACAGATGATTAGGATGAGGGAATAGACACTGTGGCTCTGTCCTCTTCTCTCAAGTCATGAGTCCTTTAGACGAGGATTTTATGGACCTTTAAAATCCCCAAATCTTTGAAGCAGGAAAACAAGAAGGAAGGGCTCTGGGTTGGACACAGTGTTATGCTTACAGTTTCTTTCCCCTCCCTGGACCAACACAAGTCCTGCCCAGCCATCCACCACCCTGGCCACATATATTTGTGTCAACTCCTCTACCTGCTTCAACCTGGTGGGCTTCCATTTTAGCCTATCACATTCTATCACGTGTTGGAAGTTTCCCATGCATGAGTCCCATATCCTCCCCAACTCCCCCGCCCCGACACCCCTAATCAAGCACAAGTTCGCTCTGTCTTCTGGGTAGAGGAGGTTGGAAGAAGAGGCCTACGCCATGACTGGAGACCTAGAGCTCTAGACCTTCCCTGATTTGCTCATTTCCCTGTTTCCTAACTTGAGAGGCCAAGTAGCCAGGCCTCTCTCTGCCCAGGTGCTGGGCTGGTCCTAGTGAATTTGTGGGGATAGAATTGTTCTGCACACAATGTGTACCAGCAGTCTCCTGAGGAAAGTGAAATGAGGAGCACTGAGTCCAGCCTGATAAAGAGGGGGGTGGAGAAGGGCAGACATCCGAGCAGCCCTCCCTCGACCTTGACAAAGGCAAGTCCTTCTTTAGAAGATACAATTGATCGCCCCTCACCCGCTCAGTCTGGGATCTGGCTCACCCGTGCACTGGGAAGGATCCCATGAAGAACTTCCCAGAGGCATTGAAAGTCTCATAGTGGCCAAAAGGCCTTGAGAGTAAGGTACCACTCTTTCCTGAGCACCCATTGTGAGTGAAGCACTGGGGGAGGTGCTTTTGTGAACACTTGTGGACTTTTTTTGGGGGTCAGTTGTGGGTCTTGAACTCATGGCCTGGGTGCTATCCCTGAGCCTTTTTCACTCAAGGCTAGTACTCTACCCCTTTGGGCCACAGTGCTGCATCTGGTTTTGTTCTGGTGGTTACTTGGAGATAAGAGTCTTGCAGACTTTCCTGCCCAGGCTGGCTTTGAACCTAGATCCTCAGATCTCAGCCTCCTGAGCAGCTAGGAATTACAGGCCTGAGCCACTGGTGTTTGGCTACTTGTGGACCTTTTAAGAGGAACTTATTTCCCTCCTATTTTAGTGCTGAGGAAATGGGGGCTCAAGATAGTTTACTAACTTCTTCTGGCCCCTTAGCCAGTTGGAAACTGAGCTGCTACCGAACGTAAGCCTGTCTGATCTCTCCAGGACAGAGCCAGAGAGAGGCTCAAGGGAATCCATAACAATTCCTGGTAGTAGACAAGTGAGATGCTCGTGCTGTGTTTCAGAGGATCCAAGGTTCTTGAGAACAAGAAAGGGTGCCTGTATGTGCATTCATGCTCAGGGGTGGATGGTGGGTGGAAAGACAGCACTGGAGGTCAAGACAGAAATCTCCCACTTGAGCCCCAGAGTAGAGAAGACTGAACTCCAGACACAGAGTCCTTGGGTCTTTGACCCAGTAAGGGTGCCACCAACCAACCAAAGGCTGGAAGAGGAGGTTTACCCCATAGAGGCCCAGAGCCTCCAACCTTCCCTCACAGGTCAACTCCCTATTCTTTCTCCTTCTGCTGTGTGTGCTCATTTCCTACCCAAATCTCTGAGGTCTACAGAAGGACCCTCACCCAGTCCAGGGCCACTCAGTCCCACACAGAGAGCAGCTGCCCTGGAGAAAGGTCTAGAGGAAGACACATAGGTCTTCCTGTTCCGTCTGGAGCCAGGGCTGGGCTAGGGCAGAGCTCCACTGAAAGTCATGATAGGCAGGCAAAGAAGGGAGCAGAGGTCAGGCGTGGCCTGGGCTGGCAGGTCAGGGGACCTCTGGGATGGTAGGCTGCTCTTCTCTGGCTTGTAGCAGGGTGACACCTCACACCTGTTGGAGGCAGAGCAGGGGTAAGGAAGGCCCAGTCCCCCCTCAACCACTCCTAGCCCCTTCCAGGCCTTTGATCTCTCTGGGACCTCCCCCTCTCCCCCACTTCTGAGCTAGAACACAGCTGGGGCTTCCTTCCTACCTGAGCACACTCTGTAGGATCTTTCTCTCATCCTGGTCAAGACAGACAGCGAAGGGGCAGCCATTAGAGCCGATGATTTGCACCTTGTCCACTTTCATCTGTGAGGTACTAATCTGGAAGGGAGAAGCCAACACGGACCTGGAGCTCTAGCCACACAACTCTGCCAGCCCTCAGTGCTCAGTCCCCCAGAGCTTCCCAATAGAAGTGTGTGTGTGTGTCTCCCCCTGGCTAATGGCCAGGTCAGGGGAGCAGTCCTGAGGCCTCCATTGGGCTCTACCTGCCCTCTGGCCTCTTTCCATTCCTGAGTGGAAGCGAGCCCCTCCCCTAAGACTACCCTGCCTACTTCACCCCCCACTGTGATACCCTTGGGGTCCTCCCCACCCCCAGCATGGAGCCCACTCCTCAGGCTCGGGGCTTTCTTGTTTCACATACTTTCCAAATCCACACCATCCACAGGACACAGGTCCCACCATGACACCCACCACGCTGTCCACCTGTGCAAACTCCAGACCGACCATAGGTAGCCCTTGTCTCCCAGCCATGGGCCCTGCCACTGCCATCCATTCTGCCGTCTCTCGCATTGCACACATGGACACAACACGTACTCATAAACACGTATGTGGCTATGAAGACATGTGATGGGTACACATGCCCACGACACACTCCAGGATGTGTCCAGAGTGTGTCTCAAAGGAGAGGGAAACTGGGCTGGGAAGGTGGCTCGGTGGTAGAGTGCTTGCCTTGCATGCATGAGGCCCTGGGTTTGATTCCTCAGCACCACATAAGCAGAAAAAAGCTGGAAGTGACGCTGTGGCTCAAGTGGTAGAGCGCTCCTTGAGCTGAAGAGCTGAGGGACAGTACCCAGGCCCAGTGTTCAAGCTCCATGACTGACTGAGGGGGGGGGGAACCCTTACCTGGTTGAAGCCCTTCTTGGATTTGGGGTTCTGCCTTTTCACTACTTCTGTGAGGGTTAGCGTCAGGGCCTCCATGCTGGAGTCTGCAAGGCAAAGGAGGCTCAGGCCATGCTCAGGACCCCTTTCCTGGGACATCCCTCCCTTCCCTGACCCCCCCTCCCTCTTACCCAGATCCTCCGGCTTCCGGCAGGCCTTGTTGAGGTTGACAGTAGTACAGACTTTCTCTAGGTTGCTCCAGCGGCTCCGGCCACTGATGGACCCCTGGAACAGCACATCCAGACTCCTCAGCCTTTTTTTTAGGAGGCTCGGGAGGCCAGAGGGAAGAGATGTCTGCTCCTCGTGCTGGGGAGGACCAGCAGTTCCCTTACCTTGCTGTAAATAATCTGTAGTGTTAGAGGGATGGCCTCCCGGTCGCCATCGATGCCCAGTCGCTTGCAGCCAGGACCTGTGCCACAGGCAGACACCCTCTTCACTTCCTCTTGCTTAGCTTGGCCTCCCCAGGGGAGAGGGGAGGGATTGCATCTCCATGGCTGTACCTCCCCTTGAGCCCCACCATCCTCGGGTCCTGCTGCCCACAGCCTCAGTTCCCTCAATTCCATCCTCCCCAGGACTCAGGGTGGGCCTGCCCAGGGTCCTACCTTGCTCTGGCCTGGCCCTCAGGACACCTCCCTCTACCAGATCCCTGCCTGGCCCCAGGAGCCCTCCCTTCCCAGGCCCTGCCTTCCTGTGGCCCCACCCCACGATCCATCCCTCCCTAGGCCCCACCTCCAAGATATCTCCCTTCCACGGCCCCGCCTTCCTCTTGCCCTGCCTTCAAGATCCCCCAGGCCCTGATCCCATAGCTCCGCCCTCCCAGGCCCCGCCTTCCTTTGGCCCCGCCCCCAGGACCCTCCTTCTCCAGGCTCTGCCTTCTTCTGGCCTGGTCTCCAAGGCTCCCTCTCCTCCAGTCTCCTCCTCCAGCTCAGGGCTCAGGCCCTGGCATACTCACCGGAGGCCTTGATAGCTCGCGTAGCGGCCGAGTGACCCAGCTCCAGGGAGTGGATGAAGATCTCTGATGTCTTCTCCCCAGAGACAAAGGTCAGCTGGAGGGGTCAAGGGGCAGGTGGGTCAGGCATGCGGCCTCACCAGCAGAGCTGATGCCCAGGGGGGTGGGAGTAGGGGTGCAGCTGGGACTACTCACACTGACCCTGGGAGTATGGGGGGAAGGAGGCAGCAGGCAGGTAGACCGCAGGGCCTTACCTCTGCCTGATAGACCTGCAGCAGCACCGGCCGGGCGGCAAAGCGGCAGTAGTAGAGCAGCATGTCGGCCAGGATGGGCAGCTGGGCAGAGGAGCCCTCCAGGGACGGGGATTCAACCTTCAGGGATTGCTGTAGCCCATGGGGTGGGGGGAAGCAAAGTAAAGGAACAGAGGGTCAGAGAGCCCAAGGCCAGGAAGGCAAGACAGGCACAGAGAAGGCAGAGGGAGACAAAGCAGGAAGAGAGAGAGGGTGTCATGGAACCCAGGAGAGAGGCCTTGGGGAGCGGCCTCCCTCAGTATCTCTCAGGTGACCCATAGGTCTCTAGGGAGGAAGGTCCCTGGTCAGGCTGGACCACCCAGGAGCTGAGGAAGGGAGGGGAAATCTGAGGTCCTCCAGACTTCTCTGAGGATCTTCCCTGTCACCTCTGTGACCCCCTACTCTTGTCCTCAGGGGCCCCACCAAGCTCAGTCAACAAGCATGGTCCTTGTTCTTTCCAGATAGGACCTCTATGGAAGCCTTGGGAAGGATTCGCTAAACTCAGCACCTTCTGAGACCCCTGGATCTTCCCTTCCTGTACCCCAGCAGCCACGTACCTGGCATAGGACTTCGGGGGGCAAGTGCATGAGGCCTAACACGTTGCGCTCATACCAAGGGTCAAGCATACCGAGGTAGTGGGAGATGTCATTGGTGCTGTCTTCCCATGGGTTCGGGCCCAGCTCCTGGGACAAGGGACCAGAGTCATTCCCTGGAGACTTACCCCTCTTAGCAGCCCCATGTCCTTGGAGGGAGGGGCATGATGGTTTTCAGATTTTGTCCAGTATGGTAAAACATCATGGCCAAGTGCCAAGGCAGGAGGGAACACATGAGAGTTAAGGGTCAGGCAGGAAGAGGCATCTTGCAGCCGCAGCTGATTGGTTTGGATAATATCTGCCCAGCAGCCTTCAGGAAGCTGGAACTCCACTTTCCCACCCCATCCGGTCTACAGCTAGAGACATACCACAGGACAGGGATGCTTTGGGGAGTCTGTGGGGAGAGGAGATGTCTGGTTCCGAGGGGCCGGGCTGGTGCCTTGGCTTCGCTTTACAGGCACATAAAAGAACTGAAGCTTGAAGAACCGTGTGAGCAGTGGGCGATTGTTCTCTAGCCTCCTGGCAAGGGAAGATGGTGAGAATCAAAGCCCTGGGGGTTTTACTCCTAGACCCTGATCCTCAGGCCCTGGATCCAATCATATGGCAGACAATCAATCCAGGCCCTGGATTCAATCATATGGCTCTTACCGGAGATTGCTGTATGCCCGAGCTACCTTCCCTGAGATGCGATCGGAACCAAAGACCACCACTCGGAGTGTGGAAGCCTTCGGGTCCTCATCTCCACTCAGGAAGGGCCGGCGGCGCTGGTGGCGAAAAGCTGGGGCCAGGTGCCAGCTGGGCAGCTGGGTGCTGAGCCTGGGCTGGGGCAGGGAATGGGAGCGCTGGGCTCGGGTGGGAAGCTCTGCTGTACAGTCCAGGGGGCTGCAGAGACTCCCCGCCCTCCTGAGGGGCAGGGGCATGTCCGAGCCTCCCTCTAGGCTTTGAGAATCCCTCCGAAGTACCAGCTGGCTGGTGCTTTTGAAAAGTTTATAGATCCTATGAAACTTCTGCCTGGGCCGGCGGTGGCCTCGGTGTTCGTGGCTTCCGGTTCGCTTCGGCCCTTCGGAGGAACTTTCCTCGCTGTCTTCCACGTAGCCACTGTCCATGCCGTCCGTGAGGCCAGACACGAAGGAAGTCAGCAGGTGTCGAGAGAGCGCTGGCCCTGAGGCCTGGGGGGAGACCAGTGACAAGGTGGAGTCACCGGATGCCAGGGAGCTGGTGGAAAGGAGCGAGTCCCTCTCGGTGCAGTGCCCATCCGTTTCCAAGTCCTCCTCCTCTTCCTCCTCTTCCTCCTCTTCATCATCCCCCAGGACCCCTGGCTGCAGCAGCTCCTGCTCCTTGAGTAGGATTTCCTGCAGGATGTCTGGAGGGACGCAAAGACACGGTCAGTGGGTGTGGCTAGTAAATCCCTTGGGAGAATGAACCGGCTCCTTGAGACTCGAGGGGGCTAGCCTGGGATAACAGTGCTGCCCTCCTCACCCCTCCCCTGTTCCCTTCTATTTACAGCCTGGTTCAAGGCTGCAGGCCTTAGACTAGAGGGCAGTAATGGGGAATGGGCAGGTGACGCAGGGCCCAATCTGCTTCTTACCGAAGCTGTCCCGATTCCAGCTGCAGGTGTAGCACCTGGCCACCGGGATGGGGATGGTGTGGAGCTTGCCAGGTTTTGCAGTGTCTGTAGGAGCAAGAAGGGCAAGAGAAGGGAGCTGGGGATAGGCCTTGTTAGGATGGCCAGCCCGGTCCTCTCTGGCCTCAGAGAGAAAGCCAGAGTTGGGAGAGGACCAAATGGTCCACAGCTGGATGGACCAAGGTAAAGTGGGAGCCAGGCAGCTAGGTACTCTACCGCTTGAGCTACGCCTTTAGTCCTTTCTTTTGGCCCTCAATTTAGTTATTTTTCAGGTAGGCTTGCTCCAAATGTCAATCCTTCTACTTACGCCTTCTTGCATAGCAGGGATTAGTGATAGGCAATACTACACCCAGCTTGTTGGTTCAGATGGGAAGGGTCTCCCTAACATTTTTCCCAGGATGGCCTTGAACCACAATCCTCCTGACCTCCACCTCCAAAGTAGGTGGGATGATACGCATGAATTACCTTGCTTCGTCCCTAGAAAGGTTCTTACGAAGAATGGTGTAATGGGAACTGCTAATTGACCCTCAGTCTGCTCCCTTATCCTGTCTGGAGAGCTGCTGAGAAGACATTTTCCGGGATTATTTGAGACAAAATGTGGCCATGTGGCACAGGTGGGCCTCAGAGGATATAGGCAGCCAGACCCGTGGCTCACACCTGTAATCCAAGCTACTCAGGAGGCTGAGATCTGAGGAGCATGGTTCAAAAGCCAGCCCAGACAGTAAAGTCCATGACTCTTATCTCCAGTTAACCACCAAAAGCCAGCAGTGGAGCTATTGGCTCAAGGGATAGAGCACTAGCCTTGAGTGGAAAAGCTAACGGGCAGTGCCCAGGCCCTGTGTTCAAGCCCCAGAAGAAACCAGCACCAGAAAAAAGACACTCAGCGCAGATGTGACCTGCAGCTTCCTCTTCAGCAAGCCTATTTTTTCCCCCTCTCTTCTTCCAAGTTACACCCATGACAGCAGCTCACATCTTGCACATGGATTGGTGCCCTGATGGATTGTGGAGCCCAAGCTGCTGAGGAACCAGATCCTGAAAGGCTGTGTGGAGCAGAGCAGTCACCAGACCCACTGGGCTGCCAACCCAAGGGGCTACAACAGGGGATGAAGAAAGCAGGCAGAGCCCGGATGCTCCCTTCCCACCCCCGAGTCTCACCTAAGACTCCGGGGAAGCCAGCTTTTTCTCCCACTGCCCGCAGCTTGGTCCTGAGCCACTGCCTGGCCTCGGCTGGGTCCTGGATGCTGGATGCCAGTTCCTGGGCCTCTGCTGTCTCTGTGAAGATGTCTTCCAGCTCTGCTAGGGTCTTAGACTGAAAGCCCAGGAGGATGCAAGGTGTATTTCTGTCTGGTCTGGTCCAGCTCACAAGATCTGATCCAGGGCAGCAGGGTCTCCTGGCCCACCTCCCCTGTGTCTGACTGCATGCCAGGCCTTCAGTCCAAAGCACGCTCCTATTCTTATAGCATGGGCCTTCTTGGAAGGCACCAGGCATCAGCAGCTGAGCCTAGCACCTGGGCACCACCCAGCACTGTCCACCATGATGCCCCTGGGGACCCACCTGAAGCCGGTGGTGCAGGCTGGGGAGGTCGCAGTGGGCGCCAAAGGTGGCCTGGAAGGCATGCAGGAGGAGGGTGGTGTAGGCGCTGTGGGGTGAGTGGCCAGGGGTGCTCAGCTGGTCTGCCACAGCAAGGAACTCAGCCTGCACCTCCATGGGGTTCAGCAACAGCACGGTGCTGGGACACAGAGGGGGACACAGATGGGTAATGGCGCCTGGGCCAGGGCGGTAGGCCAAGGTGGCCGCACCCTTTGTGCCCCTGTGGCTCTGTTTGCTGGAGACCCAGGCCTCTCACAGCCCTGCGGGGCCTGCACAGGGGAGGCAGCAGGCCAGGAGAGGATGGGGACAGGGTGGGTGGAGGTGGGGGTATGTGTCCGGTCCCACTACCAAGGAGAAGGTTTGGTGCACTCTGGAGGAGTTTGCACATGATGCTTACAAAGGATTTTTTCAAAATGGAGCTGAGGGGTTCTTTGTTTGTTTTTTATTTTGCCAGTCCTGGGGCTTGAACTCAGGGCCTGGGCACTGTCCCTGAGCTTCTTTGGCTCAAGGCTAGCACTCTACCACTTGAGCCACAGCGTCACTTCTGGCCTTTTCTGTGTATGTGGTACTGAGGAATCAAACCCAGGGTTTCATGCATACTAGGCAAGCACTCTACCACTAAGCCAATTTCCAGCCTGAGATTTTAAAGGAAGTTTGGACCTTAATCAACCAACTTTCCTCCTATCCTCCCTCCCTCCCTTCCTCCCTCCTTCTCTCTCTTCCTTCCTTCCTCCCTCCCCCTCTTTTCCCTCCCTCCCTCCTTTTTTCCTTCCTTCCTCCTCTCCCCCCTTCTTTCTCTCCTTTTTTTCTCTCTCTCTTTCTTAGTCTGGGCACTGTACCTGAACTTTCTAGTTCAATGCTAGTACTCTACCACTCCTGGCTGTGTTTGATGGTTAATTGGAGAAAGCAGTCTCATGGACTTTCTGGCCTGAGCAAGCTTCAAACCTTGATCCTCAATCTCAGCTTTCTGAGGAGGTAGGATTATAGGGGTGAGCCACGGGTGCATGGCAGACAATGTATCTTTTGTATAGATCCTAGACACAAAGGATGGGAAAATGCTGTTTGAGTAACAAGAGGAATATACACTGTGGAAAGATACCAGGTTAGACTGGTTCAAATCCTAGCTTGCACCCTCGCCGTAGTTGTACGACCTTGGGGAAGCCCCTTGGCCTCTCTGATCTCAAACGTCTTCATCTGTGGAGTAGGAATGAAGGGAGGTAATATGGATCCAGTTCTCTGGCATGAATGATGCAGACCCTCGGCCCAGAAAAACATAAATATACTCACAAAACACCACCCACAACTCCAAAGCATCCAGGTGCCCAGAGAAGCTTGGTGGTGGTGGAGGTGTTGGGAGAGTGTATATATGCAATGATGGGGGTGCTGGGGTGCAGGGGATGGTGGAGGAGGGGCTTGCCCTGTCTCCTCCTCCCCAACACTTACACAGTGGAGCTGCGGTGACTCCTGATGGACAGGCCCTGCTCAGCTCTCACCAGTCGTTGGTAGGAGATGCCTATGGGCCAACGTGAGAGAGAGAAAAAGTGAGCTCACCTGTCCCCTCACCGGCCACGTCCCACACCTTGCCACGCACTGCAGCTGAGGCTGGCAGCTCCCCGGCGGGGCTCAGAAGAAACCTGGAGAAGACCTCAGCCATCTGTGTGGCCCTCAGCTGGTCACTGGATGGCTGAGCCTCAGTTTCCCCACGTAAAAGGCAGCACAGAGGGCATGGTCCCAGAGGCTTCTCATCAGCCCGTGATTCTCGGCTGGGAAACTGGCACAGTGGAAGGAACAGCCCTGGGCCCAGGATGCTTCGAGTCCCCACGGCCCAGACAGTCCTGAGTCACCGACTCTGCACCCCCACGGGGCTGGCATCTTCCTATAGTGTGGGGGGGTTAGTAGGCACTCCACAGTAACCCCCATTCAGCTGTAGCACTGCCAGGCAGAGTCCTTCCAACCTCCTCTGCCTGAGCTGGGAAGCTAGGGCCACCCCTCTGGTTAGGGAGAGCCACGACTGGGGATTTAGAGATAGTGGCAAACACAAAGGCCACAAATTGTGTTTGGTAAATGGCAGAAACTCTAACTGGGGGCCTAATTGCTCTACGCCTTGGCTTTTCGGGTTATGGTCAGTGTTATGTTCCTGAAACAGTGGCTGGACGCCATCTAGTGGCCATTCCTATATATTGCAGAAAAAAGCACTCTCAGTGCTTTGGTTTGCAGTGGTTTGGGAGGTGGAGGTCCCCCTTCCCGACTGCCTTGAACTGCATGGCACACGGGCGAATATTCCCCTTTTCTGCTACTACTCAACTTATTTCATTTGCTGGTGCTGGGGCGGAACCTTTCAAGACCTTGTGCATGCTAAGCAAACCCTACCACTGACCTGTACATCCTATTTAATATCTCTACTGTGTCATCCACACCCTGCTAATAACCCTGTTCATCTTTACCCTGTTCTGTTAGGTCTGACTGAGGACATGTAGATGCCACACGGCAGGAACAGCGAGCTGTGGAATTACTCTCTCCATGTGGGGTTATTCCCTGAAATACTAGACTCTGGGGTTTGAGCCCCCCTCCCTCCACCAAACACACACACACACACACACACACACACACACACACACACACACACACATCCCAATGACTCATACACAAGTTGTCTGTGATTGTTGCTCAGGATTACTGATCCATTCTTTACAGGCAAGGTTTCTGGTCTGCCCAGTAGAAAATAAACCTGGTACTGATGTAACATTTCCTGATACCCCCAAAACCAGGCACAAGGTGACCCTCTTGGAGGGTGGAGTCAGGAAGTAAGGGGTACCCCCAGCCTTGTTAACCAGCCCACTTCCTCGGCTACCCAGCCACAGTTTCCATGGCAGCAGGCTCCCTAAGCCTCCACGGGGTAGAGAGAGTGTCTAGCTCCCTGGATCCCTTGTCCTCTTCCCCCTGGGACCCTGCGGAAGCTAACACTTTCCTATTGCTTATTTTCTTCAGTGATAGGAAATCTAGAGAGGAAGCCTCCATCCTCAGAGAGCACGCCATTTTACAGATGGGGAAACTGAGGCACAGATACATTGAATGTCTTGCCAACCCAGATCCAAGTTTTGAAACTGCTAAGTTCTCTGGCTTCCATTCCAGCCTTCTGTCCTGTCCTGTTGCTTACTTTTCTCAGCTGGGATTTCTGGAGGACTGGACTGGACTGGGGTAGGGGAGCCACAGAAATAAGGATCATGGAATGCCACACAAGAGCCTTTTTTTTCTGACAAACTCACCTCAGGGTTGTGGCAGGGCGGTCCCTGTATGTAGTCTCCTGTTTACTGTGGATGAGGGTCGGGGCCTGGGAGACTGACTTGGGGAAATGAGTTAAGTTGCAAGTGATTTTTGTTCAGAAGAAAAGATAATGCCAAAAATTCTGGTTTTATTCCACTGTATGATGACTCATTTTGTACTTCATTTTGCTATCTTAGTCTGGCTTATATGAAGAACTTACATTTCTTTCTTTTCTTTGGTTTTCCTCTCTCTCTCCTTCTTTCTTTCTTTCTTTCTTTCTTGGTGGTGGTTCTGAGTTGGGATTCAGGGCCATGTACTTGGTGGACAGGTGGTCTACCACTTGAGATACAGCCTACTCTTTCTTGCTTTAGTTATTTTTTCTAGCTATTATTATTAAAAATATTGTTATATTTTTGGCCAGTCTGAGGACTGAACTCAGGGCCTTGAACTCATTTGTTTTGCTTGTTCATGACTGGTGCTCTACCACTTGAGCTATGTTTTGCCTCCAGGTTTTTGCTGGTTAACTAGAGCTGGAGTCTTCTAGACTTTTCTGCCTGGGTGGGTTTTGAATTGGGATCCTTCAGATCTCAGCCTCCAGAGTAGCCAGGATTCTAGTCCTGAGCCACCAGTCCTTGGCTAACTATTTTTCAAATAAGGTCTAATTTATGCCCAACCTGGCCTGGACTATAATCCTCCTATTAATGTATCTCGAGTAGCCTGGATGAAAGATAGACTCCCCCACATGCAGCTTTAGAAAATTTTTCTTGCTTGAGATAGAGTCTTGCACATTTTTTGTCCTGGCTGGCTTTGAACTGTGATCCTCCTGATGTCTGGCTCTTGAGTACCTGGGGTTACAGACATGAGCTACCATGACTGACTTCTCATATTTTTTCCTTAAGCCCTTTCTACCATTTTGCTATTCCCTCAGCAATGAGTGGACAACAGGAAGCACGGGCTCGTTGTAATATTTAAATACAGTTTTGAACTGTTTGAAAATGGTTATCTGACATGCAGGAGCTAATAGTTCCCTGCTTTCCCTGGAAGAGAACTTTCTAGCTGCCTTGCGTGAGCTTCCCCCTGTCCAGGCGTCTGATTTCTCCCTGTTCATCAGGGCCACTGAGGTGTCACATGGTCCCAGAGAGGGGGTGCAGTGCAGGCCCTTAGCAGGGGGAAGGGAGCCAAGGCTCCCAGCATTCCCTTTGCTCGGGGCCTTCATTCCATGTGCACCTCCAGTGCTCTGCCTGGCTCTTGCTCCCCAGGCTCAGTTTTCTAATCTCACTGGTTCTAGCTTTACCTCTGCTTCCCTTTCCACTTCACATGGGCTCATAGGATGCCAGCACCTGCCACAATACCTCAAGGCACAGCATGCATTCAACTGAGGTGAGCCATTTGGCTCTTCTTAAAACTGGGAAGTGGTCTCCCCACAGATGACATCCCTCCCCAGCCAAACCTGGAGCTCGAACTCAGGGCTCTTTTGCTTGACTTTACCACTAGAGCCATATCTCCACACTGGCTTGTTGGTGTCTGATTGGAGATAAAGGGTTTCATGGACTCTCCTGCTTGCCTGTCTTTGAACGACAATCCTCAGGTCTCAGCCTCCTGAGTAGCTAGCTACCAACGTCTGGCTTTCATTTAAATCTTTGGTATGCACTAAAGGCCCCGTCAAGGCAGTTGTATTTTGAATTCTTTCCCTTGAAATGGTAGAAGGAAAGAAAAAAGATTTCCTTCTTTGGTTGGGGGGGGGTGAGAGAAGTGGGAAGTGAGAATGGAGATTGAACTTCAGCTGGCTTGCTCATTTAGGATGTCTTAGGAAGGTAGATTAGCAGACTCTTTAGAATATACCTGTACACCTTTCTATGTGCCACACCGTCTCCCCAGGAACTTTTCAACTCTTATTAACTCTGCATCCAAGGATCTACCACAAGGAGGGGACATTTTACAGGTAGACTTTGGGCTTGGCTAACTCTACCTGATCATTTGTAACAACAGAATTTTGATTGGTTGGGAGAAGACAGATGGTTAAACTGGGCACCTGTGGCTTACACCTGTAATCCTAGTTACTCAGGAAGCTGAGATTTGAGGATTGTGGTTCAAAGCCAGCCTAGACAAGAAAGTCCGTGAAACTCTTAACTCCAGTAAATCTCCAGAAAACCGGAAGTTGCACTGTGGCTCAAGTGGTAGAGTGCTAGCCTTGAGCTGAAGAGCTGAGGGACAGCACCCAGGCCCAGAGTTCAAGCCCATGACCGACAAAAACAAAAACAAACAAATAAATACAGATGGCTAATTGGTTGGGAGACAGGCAGATAAGCTGATTGGTTGAAGTAGAAAGGTATGACCCTTCTAAAGGAATTCACAAGAAAAACTTCAATCCTGAGCTTTTTAGGGAGCATGAGTTTGGGGAAAAGTTTTGGTGTTTCTCTCCTGTGTTGTTTATATGTTGGCAATTAGGTGCTGTTAATACTAAACAGGATGTAGAGAAGGTAAATACTATCATGGACAACCAAAGTTGAATTACAAGATATGTGAAGGCCTGTTTTTTTCTTTTTTGCTTCCTTTTCTTTTTTGTTTTGGTACTATTAGGACTTGAACCCAGGGCCTCCTGCTTGTGAAGCAGGTGCTCTACCACTGAGCCATGACTGCAGCCACAGGGCTTACATTTTTTTACTTAACAATTTAGTAAACATCTTTTGTTGTTGTTGTTGGTTGTGGGCCTTGAACTCTGGGCCTAGCACTGCCTCTGAGCTCTTCACTCAAGGTGAGTGCTCTACCACTAGAGCCACAGGACCACTTCCGGTTTTCTGATGGTTAATTGGAGATAAGAGTCTCATGGACTTTTGTTGCCCAGGCTGGCTTTGAACCGCGATCCTCAGATCTCAGCCTCCTGAGTATCTAGGATTACAGGCATGAGCCACTGGCGCCTGGTTTAGTCAACGTTTTTTTGACCTGACAAACTTGTCCTTGGATACAGCATTCTGAACCATGGTCAAAATGTAGGTCTTTGTTCCTTGGCAGATGGTTAAGAAGAATGTGCTGATGAGTGTCCTTGTAGATGCTACATCTTTGCATTTCCATAGTTACTCATCAGAAGTTCTTTGCTAATTTGGTAGGAAAAAAGATCTCTCACTCTTTTAGGTTAGCCTTTGCTTTATTACTCATTGGGGTGAGTATTTTGGGAGCCATTGCTTAGCCATTTGTGGTTCTTTTGTTGATGTACTAGGGCTTGAACTCAGGACCTAGGCACTATCCAAACCTCAAGGTTAGAGCTCTACTACTTGAACCACACCTCCATTTCTGATCATGTTCTTTCTATGGGTGTATTTACTTTTTACAAAGTAAAAAAAAAACAAAGCAAAACAAAAACAAATTTTGGGTTTATATATTCATTATTATATATTCATTTTTGCTGCATTTAATTTTTTAATGTTTCATTTATGGGTGGATTCCCATGTATAAGATTTAATATTATGCTTTCAGATCTTTTTAATTCTTTATCATTGTTGATTGGGGATGCATTTGACAGCTCTTCTCGCTGGTTCAGGCTTCTCCCTCTTGTAGTTTTTTGCCAGTCCTGGAGTTTGAACTCAGGGCCTGGGCACTGCCCCTGAGTTTCTCTTGCTCAAGATTAGCACTCTACCACTTGAACCACTGCACCAGTCTGGCTTTTTCTGTTTATGTGGTACTGAGGAATTGAATCCAGGGCTTCATGCATGCTAGGCAAGCACTCTACCACTAAGCCACATTCCTAGCCCAGTTCAGGCTCCTGTAGCTTATTTTTCTTCTAATTGTACAGTGTTGCTTTTTATCCTTGGATCTCTCACCTATTTGCAAATTACTTTGTGGCTCAGATAGAACCTGTGTTTTCTTTTTGGAGAGAATTCTAATTCATTAAAAATTGTCAATTATCCTGACATCATTTATTAAATGAGTTGTTTTATAATCACTGGCTTGAGGATGCCACTTGGTTATATAATAAGTCCTTATATATACAATTTGTTTATAGATATTACCTTTTGTTCCACTCAACTACTTCTTTGTGTATGTGTGTGTGTGCGTGTGTGTGCGCGCCTTTCCTGGGCTTGAATTTAGGGCCTGGGCACTGTCCCTGAGCTTTTTTGCCCAAGGCTAGTGTTCTACCACATGAGCCACATCTCCACTTCTGGAATTTTGGTTGTTAGTTGGAGATAAGAGTCTCACAGAGTTTCCTGCCTGGGGTGGCTTTGAACTTCAAACCTCAGATTTCAGCTTCAGGACCAACACACACACACACATACACACACACACACACACACACACACACACACACACACACACACACACCCTAAGTAAATGCATAAATGGACAAATAAATGCTATCATAGAGCATTTATTCTATGAAATGGACCAGTTATTGTGCTAAATTTTTAAATGATTGTATTGGTATTTTGATTATGGTTACACTTAATTTTCCTAGCACCTGATATTATTATAATACCAATGTAATCCACTAGTGATACCTATTCAATTATTTTTCCTTTAGGAAAGTTTGTTTTCTCTAAGTAGAACACTCACTTTTCTTTCATTTAAAAATATTTTCAGTGGCTTCTATCAATTTTTTTCCTTCCATTATATTTTCTTACTGGTTGATGCTGGTATATGGCAAAGTTCTGAACCTATCCTGTAATTCTGACAAGTATTCATCCAGGTGATTCTCTTAGACTTGAGAGATAAGCATTTGCCTGAAAGTTAAATGATTAAATCATTATTGTCTCCAGGTAAGGAAACAGTCTTTATTTTTCTCTTTTTGCATAGGCAAATACTTATGAGTGAAGACAGAAAGGTACCTGAGTCAGAAAGTAGAGGAAGTGTCTCTAGCTTTTCACTGTGGCCTCTTGCCATATGCAAAATACTTCTATGGCAATACTTTTCATACAATGAGGGCTTTTTTTTTTTTGTTTTTGGTCCAGTCGTGGGGCCTGAACTCTGGGCCTGGGCGCTATCCCTCAGCTCTTCAGCTCAAGGCTAGCGCTCTACCACTTGAGCCACAGCACCACTTCTGGCTTTTTTCTTTTTGCTTATGTGGTGCTGAGGAATTGAACCCAGGGCCTCAGGCATGCAAGGCAAGCACGCTACCGCTGAGCCACCTTCCCAGCCCCATAATGAGGGGCTTTGAATACCAGTAATGGATTGGAAGTTTACCAAATGTCTTCGAGACACATCTGTTGAGATGTGAATGTGGTTTAATTCCTTGCAATATTAGCACGATGAGTTACTCTAACTGGGGGCTACCTCTCAGTACATTCTACTTGGTTAGGTTTTCTCTTGTACTCTTGCTCTTTTCTCTGACTTCATTCCTATGGCTATAACAGTACTTGCAATCTCCCAAGAACTTCTTCTCAGGTCTCCTCTATGCAAAACAAGTCCTTGTTCAAACTGTCTGGTGCCCATCAACGTGTGCATCCCTGGCACCACCAGAATGGAGCCACGTCACTCAAGGTTTCCTACTTGTTTGCATTGTAAAGGAGACACATAAAGCCTCATGTAAGCATTCTGTGGGCTTCTCTGGTTGATCCACACCACCTTAGAGACCCTCTTTGGCTAAGCTCTTCAGAGGAACTGGCCAAGTGGTGGTGGTGGGGGGGAGGGGGGTGTCTCCTTGTTCTGGGCTCTATCGCTCCCTGGTGGTTCTTCCTTGAGTTACCGCTCATGTTTACGGTTTTAGCCGACTGAGCCCCACTCTGTGTACCATGAAGAGATGCCAAGGCTGTGACCCTGGGCGGGGTTTTGCAAGGTGAGGAGAGTCAGCTCTAAAGAACAGTCTCAGAAGATCCAGAAGCATTCTGACCACATGAACTCTGCCCCTTGTGCCTGTGTCCTGGACACTTACCTGGAGCCTTGAGCTCAGCATCGATGAAGGTGAGCAGTTCTTGGCAGATACTGCAGTAGGGAACTGGCCATGTGAGGAACTGGTGGTAGGTTTTGGCCGCCTTCAGAAGGAGATCTGACTCAGGTGGAAAGTGTGGAGTCTAAGGAGGAGAAGGGGGCAATAAGCAGGGAGGTCCAGACGAAAAAGAGCTCATTGGTATTCCGGAACTACTCTCTTTCTAGACTGTTCCACCATGGGTGTGTATTTTGTGGGAATAGTACATCCCAGCTTAAGGTCAGGAAGAATTAGCAGTGACTCCCCAGGAGTGAGTTACAGATGGGCTGGCTTTGACATGTGATCCTCAGACCTCAGCCTCTTGAGTAGCTAGGATTACAGGCGTGAGCCACTGGTGCCTGGCTTCAGACGTCATTTTACATGGTGCCATTGCTGCTATTCATGCTGAGGAACACTTTTCAATGCTTAACCTATTTTTTTTGCCAGTCCTGGGGCTTGAACTCAGGGCCTGGGCACTGTCCCTTGAGCTGCTTTTGCTCAAAGATAGCACTCTACCACTTGAGCCGCAGTGCCACTACCAGCTTTTCCTGTTTATGCGGTAGAGCAATCGAACTCAGGGCTCCATGCATGCTAGGCAAGCACTCTTCCACATTACCAGACTTAAACTGTATTTTATTTGACTAATTCTCACTACAGGGGAATGCTTATTCTTTTTATTTTATTTATTTATTTATTTTTCTTTTTGCTGGTCCTGGGGCTTGAATTCGGAGCCTGGGTGCTGTCCCTGAGCCTCTTTGCATTCAAGGCCAGCACTCTATCACTTGAACCACAGCACCACTTCCAATTTTCTGGTGGTTAATTGGAGATAAGAGTCTCATGGACAATCCTGCCTAGGCTGGCTTTGAACTATGGGAATGCTTATTCTTTAGGTGGCTTGATTCCGTGTCTATGGAGTCATTCAGTGTCACCAGTTGCTTGGTGAAACTGACCACTGGGAATGAACAAATGAGGTGAAACTTTTTATGGCTTAGGAGCACACACACATGGACACAATTCTTCAATGAAGCCCAAAAGATGCCAGACACAATAGCTTGAACCATATGGAGACTTCTCAAGATGGCGGCTCTAGTCCTTCTCAAGGCTGGAGAAATGTGGATCATTCATGGTAAGAAATATATCCTGTATTCATCTAATCACTCAGTGTGGATGATTCAATGTGGAAAAAAATATTTTGTACATATCCACGCTCACCTTGCATTCATGTATATATATCCTGCATATATATGAAAATAGATCCTGTACCTATCCTGTGTTCAATTAAAAATCAATTAACTCATTAAAAAGGACCAATTAAAGTCCATTAATCAATTAAAATATATTTATATGTGATATATATGTATTTACATATATTTTTATGTATTTATATAAATCAATTAAGATGTAATCAATTAAAAATAGATCATACAGTTATATAGATGATGTTCTCAAGGCATCAGAGTTGAAACACATCTCAAGTGTCATTGCCTGGCAGTTTCTCTCTGTGGCCCAATGAAGGTTACTCTTCCTTTTCTTCCCTCTCCTGTCCCTACCCACTTGAACTTACACAGAGGACCGTGGAATAGAAGAGCAGAGCCAGTGGGGCGAGGAGGTCATAGGTACCCGTCTCTTGGACCTATGGAGAGGACAAAGGGGTTAAAATGCTAAAAATCTCGTTGCCCGTTCTGGAAATCTGGGGACTTGCACAGCAAAAACTCACTGCCTCTTCAGTAGTAGCCAGCCTCCGCAGGCTCGTTTGGATTGTTCCTTTCTCTTTATCCTGAGTAGATATTGTGTATACCACAATTGCTTTTCCATCCCTTCTACAAAGCCCTTCCCTTATGCCGGGCACTGGTGGCTCATGTCTGTCATTGTAGCTACTCAAGAGGCTGTGATTTGAGGGTCATGGTTCATAGGTAGCTGGGGCAGGAAAGTCTCGGAGACTCTTATCTCAGAGCTAGAAGTGGAGCTGTGGCTCAAGTGGTAGAGCATCAATCTTGAGTGAAAAAGAAGCTAAGGGCTAGCATCCAGGTCCTGAGTTCAAGCCCCAGGACTCCCGGCCTCCACCTCCACCCCCACACAAAGTGGCTTGAATTCAGACTCCTGGAGATCTTGTTATGTGTTCACATTTTCTAGAAACTCTCAATGCGCAGCTCTGCGGAAAGACAAAACTCATGGGCCCTAGGCTTTGGCCAGACTCCTCTGGTGGTCTGAGCACCCCGACCTGCCTCCTTCCTGGATGCTGGGCACCAGTGGTGCCCTCTGGCTCTGCAGCTGGCCTCACCTGGTGGGTCTTCTGGAGGATCTGCTCCAGGAGGATGAGGAAGTGGCCGGGGTCCCTGCTGACCAGCTCCTGCAGGCTCCAGCAGTTCAGACACAGCCCGGCTGAACAGAAGCAAGAGGTCAGTGGTCAGGCCAGGTGTCTGGCTGCTCTCAGGATCACAGGCAAGGGTGATTGGCTTTGAAACTTTCCAGAGAGTCTTGAAGGAATTGCTGGGGCAACACCCAACCCTATCAGTTCCCACCCAGACAAAACAACCCATTTTTTCCTGCATTCACAGGAGGCTGCCTCACACAGGGATTGGAGACACGAGCTGAGGATCCCCACAGAGACCCACCAACTGGCCCAGACTCTGTTCTGCACCTCTGGGACACCAGTTCTCTCACTGTCTCCCCTGCTCTGTGGTCCTGTGGTGGGTGCCGGTGCCTATGATGCTCAAAGACATTAGATCAGAGGCAGATCATTCGGGAAGAATAGAGAGAAGTCATGACAAGGGCCACCCCAGATCCAAAGGAGAGAGATCCTGGGGTTTGCAGCAGGGCCTGGCAGTGGAGACAGGAAGAGGAAGCTAGATTCATTTACAGTCCAAAAAAGAAAAAGAAAAAAGAAAAAAAAAACTCCAGCGAGACTGAGTATCACTGTAACTTCCCCAGAGGACTTTTAGTTTGTCAGTCTATTTCCTGAAGTCAGCATGGGCAAACCCCTAAAAATGAAGGGAAGCTTACAGAGGGGAAAGGCTGTGTGTATGATGGGGTGGAGAGGGAGATGGACTAACCATACATTTCCCAGAGCTCGGTTCCTAACTGCCTCATATCCACGGAGCCCTCTCAGAGCCCCAGATGCTCTCTCTCAGTCAGTTCATGGGTCCCAGGTTAAAAAAACCCCATCAATTTCAGATATTTTCATCTCTCTCCCTCTGTAACTATCCATATATAATCTCTCTCCCTCTGTAACTATCTCTATATAATGATATAAATAAGAAATATATACTTGTCAATGAGTTATTAATTATATGTCTATAGTATATATTCATATACAAATATATACTTGTAGTATATATAAGTATATACTATAAGTATATAACATATATAACTAAATATATAAATGTGTTGTATGTGTGTATAACCCAATGAGCCTCACCCCCAACTTTAGAAGCTTGATCTCCAACCAAAACCTGGGTGGTAGACAAGAAGGAAACTTGGTGGGCCCTGGCCTTAGCACCATGTCCCTGTCCCATCTCCCACCCTCTTATCCGGAAGGTGCTGTCTGTAATTCCCACCAAGGCAGATGGGGCTCTGGGAGGACAGGGTGTAGGCAGTGAGAGGTCTGTCCTATTGCAAAGGGAGAGGGTGTGATGTGATGCTTCAGCTGAGCCCTGCCACACACATGCACAGTTCCAGGGAAGGGCTCCAGGCAGCTCCAGGCGGCCAGGTCTCCAGGCAGGAGCCCAGGTATATTCAAAAAGTCCTGGGGTCAGGGACAAGTGAATCTCATCCATGGTGACAGCTTGTATCGATTTTGCTTACTGCTGTAGCCCCAGTGCTCTCAACAGTGTCAGGTGCATGGCTAACACTCTAAACAGAATGGATGAATGGCTGGGTGGCTCACGCCTGTCATCCTAGCTACTTAGGTGGCTGAGATCTGAGGATTGCAGTTTAAAGCCAGCCTGGGAAGGAAAGACCATGAGACTCTTAGCTCCAATTTGGTAGAGCATCTTTCTTAAGGGAAATAAGCTAAAGGACAGTGCTCAGGCCCTGAGTTCAAGACTTAGTGCTGGTATGAAACCAAACAAAAACAACGAAAACTAAAACCAAACCAAACCAAAACAAGTCTTCAGTGTGTCTCACCAAGATAAGGAAGCAAGTGAAACACAGACTATGAAAAATCTCCCAGCATGCAGAACTTGCACAAGCCTTTGGTATCCCAGCCTTCAGACACCCCCATTTCTCGATCCTGGGGAGCATGGAGTACAGAGACATTCTTGCTCCCCTTGGCTCTGGTGAGATCCCTGCCTTATTCTACATGGAAGAAGAGGACAGGACAATGGAAGGAATTGGAATCAAGGAAACAGATTTCTGACATCAGCTGCCTGCAAACCCTTAGTAGTTGTGGCTCAGCAGGTTCGATATCTTCTTTGGGGGCTTAAGCTTCTAGTGAATAAGAAGACAAAGATGACAGCATGAAGAGTGGACACGAGACACAGGCCTGAGGAAGATGGGGAGGACATCATAGAAGAACAGAAAGAGCTATGCACTGATGACTCACAGGGTACCAGGTGAGTGCCTGCTCAGGTGAGGTCAAGACACACACACACACACACACACACACACACACACACACACACACACGGACATAGAATATACAAGCTTCCTTCCACACCCTGCCCAGAGCCCACCATAGCTCCTGAGGCTTCCCTGGACTCTGCTGTCTCCCAGCCATAAACCCAGTCCTACCTGACCAGGAAGTGGATCGGCGGCCCAGGGTGAGCCCGTGAAGGCAACGCTCCAGGGCGTGCTGGATGCGGTCTTCCGTGCATGTCGTGGTCCCTGGCTGCATCCTGAGTCATCACCTGCACGTGGAACAGACACTGGTCAAGCTGTCCAGCTCCTTTCCTAACAGTGCCCAGCCCTGCGGGGCACTAGCCTCACCCCCATCCCCCAAGCTCATTGGAGTATTAAAAATGGGGGCTTAGCTGGGCACTGGTGATGCACCCCTATCATCCTAACTACTCGGGAGGCTGAGATCTAAGGATCGTGGTTCAAAGCCAGTCTGGGCACTAAAGTCCCTGAGACTCTTATCTCCAATAAACCTCTCAAAAAAAAGCTGGAAGTGGTGCAGTGGCTCAAATGGTAGAGTGCTAGCCTTGAGCAAAAGGAGCTCAGGGAACAGCACCCAGGCCCAGAGTTCAAGCCCCAGGATGGGCAACCAAACAAAAGGGGGGGGACTTCTAGCAGCTTCTGGGGTGGAAGGGCTTCCAGAAGGCATATTCAAGTATCAAGATGGAGCACTTCTGTGGCAGAGCATCATGAAGAGGGAGGAAGAGAGGGGTCAGGGGTGGCGCTGTGCATTCGACCAGGCAGATAGGAGGGACAGCAAATGCCCAGGGAATGCCCAAGCACAACCAGACCCTAGGTGGCTGGCTGGCCAGGGACCTCCAGGGGAAAATCAATATCACTTGGGGGATTTTCTTCTTGGTCTTCTGAATTTCCAAGCGTGCATCCTTGTAGTCCTTCAGGGAGGGGGGTGCAGGCTCTCCTTCCCTGTGCTGGGTGTCCTAAAGATGAGGTACCAGGGTGCCCTCACACATGCTCCCATCCCATCCCACCACACCCAGGTCCCAGGCACCCCCCCTACCCCCCCGTCCTTTGAGCCTCAACTTCTTCTATTGTTATTGTCATTACTTTTAACGATGGTTCTGGGGCTTGAGCTCAGGGCCTGAGAACTGTCCCTGAGCTTTTCCCCTCAGGGCTGATGGCTCTACCATTTGAGCCTCAGCTCCACTTCTGGATTTTTGGTGGTTAGTTGGAGATAAGAGTTTCACGGACTTTCCCTGTCCAGGCTGGCTTCCAACTTCAATCCTCAGATCTCAGCCTCCTGAGTAGCTAGGTTTACAGGGGTAAGTCACTGGTCTCCAGCTTTGTTTGACCATTTATTTTCCTTTCCTTTCTCTGAGCATTTGTGATATCATGGTTCTGCTAAACCTCTGCCTGGTCCTTACCCTCATCATCCCAAGGGCAGACCCAGTACTGTGTGGCTTGGCTGGGAAGGCCACTGACAAGGGGACTTCAGAGGGGATTTAGCATTAAAGAGGGAAGTCAGAGTGTCTTGCAGGGCTGACCAGCATCATGGTTTGGAGTGAGGCTTCTAGATATCTCCGGAAGCCATGGCCAGAAGCTGGGCATTGTGATGAAGCCTGGCTGTGGCATCCAATTGACCCAAGCTTGAATCTCTAGACTACTTTTTGCCAACCATAATATTGGTGCAGATTCTTTAACTTTTCCAGACTTAATTTGCTTATTTCCAAAGTGAGGTTGACAATGATACAGATCTCCTAGGGCTGTTGGGGGATTAAACATCTCAAGGGGTGCACACGTGAGCAAACGTGAACTCTATGACCACTACCATGCCACCATCTTTGCTCACCTCTGACCCCGGGAATTTCATAGCATTCACTCCTTTGCCTTGGACTCCATCATTGGGCAGTCAGATGAGATCACCTAGCAAGGGGAGGAAGTTGCGGGGACCAGCTCTGCGGATCTGGGGATGGACTAGGAAGCCAGAAGAGGAAGCGGCGAGCTCAGACTGAGGTATGCAAATGCCGTGCAAAGAGCCACGAACTCCGAACCCAGGTCCAGCTGGGCAGCACGAACACTTGGGGCACAGAGCCCTACATAGGCAAATCACCCCACTTCCCCAGTGTGGGACGGGCACATGGGTCCTGTGGGGAACAAGCCCTTGCAAGCCAGCCAGCCTCAGCGTATGGATGTATGAAGCAGAGGATGCAATGTGGGACACTGAGAGTGGCATCTGTCATCCCTGGCACTGTTGATTTCCTGTCCTCCTATGTGCCAGGGATACAGCAGTGAATAGAGCATGCATGCTTTAGAGTGAGAGACAGCTACACAAAGGAAGAACCCTAGAAGGACCTGGAAGAGAGGACAATGCTGGAGGGGACAACAAGGAAGCTCCCTCTAGTCATGGGTACGGGGTCTTTGAAGAAGAGATTTAAAGCTTAGGGAGACATGAGGCAGAGCGTTTCAGAAAGAAGAGACAGAAGGGGCCAAGGCCTAGGTGTAGGGCCAAGATGGCCCAGGATTGGAACATGGTGCCAGGGGGCTAGGCTGGCCTTGGACACAGCCTGCTCCAGGTACCACGCTTCTGGCTGCAGGGCTGATGACTGAGTCCTAAAATTCATCCTTGGAAGACTGGGGTGAGAAAAAAGGCAGTGGAGCATTCTCATGACTGTAACCCTAGCTACTCAGGAGGCTGAGATCTGAGCATTAAGGTTCAAACTAGGGAAGTTCATGAGACTCTTATCTCCAGGGAATCAGCAAAAAGCTAGAAGTGGAGCTCTGGCTCAAGTGGTAGAGCACCAGCCTGGAGTAAGAAAAAAAAAGCCAAGTGAGAGTATGAGGCCCTGAATTCAAGCCCTAGTACTGGCACAAAAGAGGCAGGAGGTGGGGTGGGGGTGGGGCTGAAGGCTGGCCCACCTCTGTGAGGAAAGCAGTGGTACAGAGAAGCTAAACAACTTGCCTTAGCTAGCAGCCAGGAAGTCGCAAAGCCAGGATGCAGACTTGGGGTGCCTGAGGTTTAACCACTATAGTATATTGGCCCTTAGTATTGAGAGCATAAATAGGACAACTCTTGTTGCTACCATGAGAACTGAAGATTCAACTGCTATTTCTTTTTGGTGGCGGTAGGGGTTGAACTCAAGTCCTTGTACTTGGCTAAGCAAGCAGTCTTTCCACTGAGCCACAGTTGTAGCTCTGACCCTGACAGGGGTCTTGCTTCCTGCTCAGGCATACAAGCAAGCAGGGTCCACTTCTATTAGACTTCTTGTGTAGGCAGGGCTTATAGGCATGGGTTATGACACCCTGCAATTTGTTGAGAAGGAGTCTCCTAGTTTTGCCTCCAAACTTTGATCCCCAACAATCTCAGCCACCCAAGTAGCTAAGATTACAGTGTGAGCCACTGGCACCCCACTCAATAATCACGATTATGCTGTGAGAAGTTTACACTCCTAGATGCTAGGGATCTGTGCTTTTATCATATTGACCTCTAACAAATGTGCAGCATAGCTCCACCTTCTCCAGAGAGAGGGAGAGAGAGAGAAAGAGAGGGAGAGGGAGCGAAAGAGAGGGAGAGAGAGAGAGGGAGAGAGAGAGAAAGAGAGGGAGAGGGAGAGAAAGAGAGGGAGAGAGAGAAAAAGAGAGGGAGAGAGAGAGAGAGAGAGAGAGAGAGAGAGAGAGAGAGAGAGAGAGGATGCTCTGGGAGCCCAGCAGGAACACCTGGCAGCAATCTCTTGGTGTGAAAAGGGCCTCCAGAGGGAGCTGGACCTGGTGTCTCTAGCCTGACAGACAGGCTAAACTCCTGTGTGTAAGTTTGTGTGTGTGTGTGTGTGTGTGTGTGTGTGTGTGTGTGTGTCTTGGTGCCAGTCTTGGGGCTTGAACTCATGGCCTAGGCACTGTCCCTCATCTTTTTGGCTTAAGTCTGGTGCTCTACTACTTGAGCCACAGCTCCACTTCCAGCTTTTTTGCTGGCTAATTGCCAATAAGAGTCTCATGGTTTTCCTGCCTGAGCTGGCTTTGAACTGAAATCCTCAGATCTCAGTCTCCTGAGTAGCTGGGATTACAGGCATGCACTGTCAGTGTCTGACTTGTACTGGGCTTTATGTCATCCTCAGCGCAGCCCCTAATGTGAGAGACCACCAGGCACAAGTCCATTACGTGTCCCGCGCCATCATGATGTCAACGTGACCCAATGGAACCTTCCAAAACAACACTTTGTCCTTCGGGGCATCAGAACCCAGTATCTGAGGCAGCCTCCCAGAGAAGCCAGCCCACTCATCACACCCTCGGTTGCTGCTGGCCCTGGCTTCTCCACCCCTCTCCCCCTTGGCCTCTGTGTCTCCTGATTTGATGGAGATCATCGATCCATTCTCTGTTGGGTAGAGTTGGGTGCCCAAAGGGCCCTGGGCACTGTTTCTAGTGTGCCACCATCACTGGCATCATAGGACCACCCAGAGCTGGGCCCAAACTCTTCTGTGGTGGGGCATGCCTGCGCACTGGGCAGAGGTGGAGAGCGTCTGCGGCTGAGACTGAGCTGCTGGGGAGAGCGTGGAGCGAGCCAAGCCCAGTGCCTGGCCCTCACACGCCCTCCCGGTGATTCAGCCAGTCATCAGCTGGTCCTGTGACTTGTTGGCTGAACCCCACTGACTTAGGGGAGAAGGGCACGGGGGGGGGGAAAGACAATGGGACCCCCTGGAAGAAGTGTTTTGCTTTTGGTCAAATGCTAGACAAAGCAAGGCCAGGATTCCTTGCCATCTCATCCCAACTCTGACTCCTTTGGTCCCTCTATTCCTTACCCCTTGTTAAAAGGAGCCCCCATTGTGAAATTCTAGCAACTACCCAGAATGCTACCCCGCCCCCCTCTCCATGGGGTAGTGTTGAAATATTAAACAACAGGGCCTCCCACTCCAAGTTCCTCTTCTGAGCCACCGCAGAGAACTTCCAGTCCCTGTGCAGACCCTGAATGGGACGGAAAGGCTTAGACTTGGGGATGAGTCTGTGGTGGCCCAGTCTTCACGGCGGGGAAAGGCAACTCCACATCCCCATCACTCTAACGGCCCGGCCCTACGGAGGAGGATAAAGCCTGAGGCTGAACAGAGGGTGAGGTCTACAGGGTCCAGCTTCCAGTGGCTGTCCCTCCCCCACCTCTGACAAAGGGGAGGGCTTCTTTTCTTGGGGAGAGGAAGAGAGAACTTCTCAAACAGTGTTAAAGGGCAGTATTGGTGGGCCACATCTCACAGGAGAGGGACATGGGCCTCCACATCCGGCTAGCACCCCACAC